AATATTAGATCATTAAAATCATTTAATCTAGTTCATTACTATAAACACAATAACCACCGTTTAATAATAACATTGTCACGTATCTAATCTTCGAAGGCCGATCGAGTCACGTGTTGGAACAAACAGGAATTTTAAAGAGAAGCTTTATAACAAATATTTTCAATAAACATCAGTTTGAGATTTTTTTAAACTCAAAATCGCTCTTCATCGCATTAACTCTGTTATTAAGGCTATAAGTATTGTCACTTCTTTCTAAGAATTTTGACCCAATACTTCGTTCTCTTTCATCGTTAGAACTCGTTGGCAGGTTTCTTGAGCAGCAAGACTCAAGTAGGATTCAGTATATACCCTTAAATATTATTATCCAATGCCATAATACATGGCTCTTATTTCATACTTAGCATATTGATCTTTAAAAGTTCGAGCTACTTCCAATAGCTCGGGAATTGTTAGGGAATCTCTTTTTACGCAAATGATACGATGGATTGTTGATTGCAATGACATTCCTGCGACTATTATTTAGCAAATTTGGTAATAACGTCTCTTAAAAAAATAAGCAGCAACCATTTCATCGTGATAGTCTTCATTTTTCTTTGCCATTAACACGTTATGTGTCCGGAAGGAAACCTCCCGAAAAACCTACAGGCAATAAAATATATCGTGGACCTACTTTGGTAGGTGCTTAAACCTTTGAGAAAAGCATTGTGAGATTGGCCAACATTAACCCATGATTCGTCTAATGGCCCCTGCGCAAGGATGATACGCTAAATTTTTTTTAACCCAACTAGATGAATGGACAACTAGTATAGGCTTCTAATTCTCCGTTACAAAGCCAACTGGTATGGTGTCTACGAAAAAATCATCCATTACACCAGTCCTTTATCTTCACAATTATCTTCCCTTCCAAACCCCCGTGAATTTCTTTGGTAGGTGGCTGGATCAAAAACTTTCCTAGAAAAATTACATACAATATTTGGCGCTAACATGCAACAAAACACTCAATTTGCTTAAGTCCGTATCAAATCGTTTCTGAAGTTCCGACTTCTCCCATTTGTGTATTACTTATGCCTTCATCTAATTTCTTATGTATTCTATTGTGAATTACTTTTAAAAACAATTTCAAGACATGACTCATTAAGGCTATGGTGCGATGTTCATTGCACTCATTTGCATTGGCTTTTTTGGGAAGCAGTATGAATGTTGACTGGAGCCATTCTTTAGGTATTATACCTGTTCTATATATGGTATTGAATAGATCCAAAAGAAGATCAATAGATTCAGTATTCACAATTTTAAGTAGTTCGATAGGAATTTCATCAGGCCCGGGAGATTTACCACCTTTAGCTAGTTTCATTGCGTATTCAATTTCTTCTCGTCTAATGTCAGGCCCAGTATCATCCTTAAATTCTTTTGGTGCTTCTGTTCTCTCTTTGTCTTCAAAAAGTTGTGCTATATATTGTGTCCATCTTCTTCTAGTTCTTGGCACTGATCATGTAACATTCTCTCCTTAGCTTTTTTTATTCTCTTTTTTATTAATCGATCAGTTTCATTATATTTAATTGGATTTTTTGTTTTGAATAATTTTTCTTTCATTCATTAATAGTAGTATTTCTTCAGTCATCCAATCTTTATGTTTTCTATTCTTTGGTTTTAAGTTTTCATTTGCTGTTTTAATTATTGCTACTTTTATATTTTCCCATTTCTGATCAATGTTATAGCTACTTTTATTCAGTTCTTGGAAAACAAAATTAATTAAACTTAAATTCAAAAGAATATAAAAATATTGCAAGAATTCTAGTATAACAATCAAAACCAACCCGCACTTAATTGTTAAATGTCTGTTCGCACTGTTTTTAGTTTAATTAACTGTTCTTACTGAATATTGATTGTTCGTAATTTTTATTTATGAGAAGTTTTTAATAAATAATTGAAAGTTCGTATGACAGAATTAAATGTTCTTTTAATTCAATTGGTAAATCGGTAGTTAACCTTAACTACAGGTGAAGAAATGGTTGACGCAGATTCGTCCAGGATTGGGTAATATGATTACAATATTATTCGCCCAGATAATTGAAGGTAATATGGTTAAGATAACTTACAATAAATCTCGATGACTGCTGCACTATTTCACTGATTTCACTATACTTTACTAGTATCAAACACTGAAGTTAATCAAAATGAATTTTTTTTTCCTTTTCTTCCTTTCATTTTCCTCCTCTTAAAATTTAACAAACTTGAAAAAATGGGATATCCTCAACTTAAAAATGACAACTTTCCTAAAAGAAGTCTAGGCTGTTTCCATTTCTAGAAAGATACCCGAACATAAAAAGGTTCTAGGTAAGTAGCGAGATTCTTGTAGTTGGGAACCGTGAGAAAAGATAGAACCTGTTGAATTAGGTTCTTTCAGAAAGATACTGTAAAGAGCTTTTACCACTATGTTCACTAAAGTTGTCATAAAGGACCCGCCTGGAATCTTTGAGAACTCTGTGATAGTCGGTATGTTCCAATAAAATTTGCTAAGGGTGAGAGAGCCCACCCGCATATCTATTTGTGGATATGACTATGGGCGTATCAGCAACAGGGGTAAAGGAATTAAAAATTATTTACTATTTTAATTATAAAAAAATGTTACAATTTATAACACGAAAACGATTAAGTTTGCAGAAAAATTAAAAGAGACCTATTTTGTTCAAGTCCAAAAAAGTTCAAAATAGTCCAAAAAATTTGAATAATTTTTCGTTTATTCCACCTCTTAAATCTTATTTTGGGGTATCTTATAAAAGTGATTATGCAAAAAAAATCTATTTTATAATTTAATACTTTTATCAATATATTTGTGCCGGTAAATCAACAAATATGTCTCTGGTCAGCGGCTACTCGAATTTCTTAAACATTTATACCGTCACTTTTTTCGATGGGCGATAGAAATATGGAGGCAACTTTATTCGCAATTTAGAAAAATATTGAATAAAAAATAAAAACCTAAACTAATAGGGCTTATATGGCTGAAATTTTAATAATTTATTGTTTTTGCAAAGATAAGCTTGCATACTAAATTTTATTAAAATAAAATAATTTATAATATGTGTTCTGATTTCTGTCACGTAGTATAATTCTTTAATAGATCCTACGCAGTGGGTTTTGCAGTTTCGTTTCATACCAGGAAGTATACAAATTCATTTCTTGTTTGTTTGTAAGTGGCGGAAATTTATCTAATAAATAACGAAGTGATTCATCACAGCCAATTTAAACATTAACACTAACGATAAACAAAATAGGGTAGTAGGCGAATCATAAATAACAATAATACCATATTGTTGTGAATGCGTTTTAAATATAAGTAATAATGTGTACCTTGAAATACATTTGATCTATTTTAATAAATAAAATAAAAATGAAAATGGACTTAGCCAAGGTGATTCGTTGGTTAGATGGCCAGACATGGCTAGATCAGATAATAAAAAATTTGTCGAATACCCGTTCTTCTGATATTGACTATCGATTCTGGATTTTGGCGAACAAATTGGCAATTGTGTCAGTTTATTTATAGCGGCACTACAACAGTTCAATCCTGCTAAGCGAAAACCAATGTTTAAAATTTTGCTGCCAAGAATAAAATACTGTCTGTAAACTTTTCTCTGAAAAATTTATTATCTATCTATACGATCTTTATTCGCCAAATATTAAATATAAATATTTTCTAATTACTTTAATTCTTCGTCTGCGTTTCTTACTTTATTATTATTACTATATCTCGGGCCTATGAGTTTTTTAAGGTCGACTGTACATTTGTGGTTTTCACTGTTATCTACTGTTTCCCAAAGATCTCCAATCTAGAATTAGTATATTCCACCTTTCAGTTTCATATCTGATCTTGTGTCGTGTAATTGTCATTTTAATTTTGCTATTTTTCTTCCGGCATTTTAGTTGCTAATTTATTTGCCTTCTTTTCTTATACTAAGATATTAGTATTATTGAATACCTGTGAGTAATCTCGATTATTCTATAACCAATAAAATGCATTTATCAGTCCAATCGGAGTACGAACTTTTTGAGTATTGGGCTGGATGCACAGAAATTGAGACTTTTTGGGTATTTTTCCGATAGAAAGCTTTTCGATAGCTTATGAAAAAGTTGGAATAGGAACGTGCAAATCGTTTTATTTTAAGTCAAACCGTTTAAATGTCAAAACTGTCCAAAATGAGAAAACGGTCACTTTTCAAACGCCAAGAACAAAAAAAAACAATTAAAGTTAGATATAGGATATGATACACGACATCTATTATCTATCGAAATTTTACTAACCATAGCTTTTCCATAACCTATCGATGCAATTCCTGGAGTTCCTACCTTGTATAGCTATCAAAAAATGTAATTTAAAATATATTTTTTAGTTTAAAAAAGTATAGAGTTTTAAAATAAATTTCTATCTAAAAACGTAAGTATTTTCTTTTAAATGCATGACAATTATTTGAAAATATTTATGTGTATTTTATAATAAATATCTAATTTCACTCTGTTCATTCTAATTTGCATTATAAATTAAAATAAAAAAGGTAGTTTTACTCGTAATATAGCCCCACAGTAAAGATCTTTGTACGCTTATGTACTTGACCACTACTTGAACCTGTTGGTGTTGTCAAGCACATGGAGCGAAATCCGGCAAATGCGAGTTTATATCTTAACCGTACTGCACTCTCAGTATGAATTTCACTATAGTAGAGATGTTGAAAAAGCAACTATTCGTTGCGAATAGTTGCTTTATGCGAATGTAAACTAATGCCTTTGATTTTAATGAATAAATAACTCAGCTTTGTTATCAGTGAAGAAATAGATTAGTATGCGGTAGATATAATCATTACAGATAGGCAAATAACAAGCAGCAGACGTGTGCGAAAAAGTGATTATTGATTGTAATGACTAGATTATAATGTCTCAACCGAGATTACACGGAGAAATAAGTGTTGGGCTTACAAGTCAATACTAATTCATAACATGTAACTAAGCAAAAGTTAGTTACAATGTTTATCATATCAGGAGCCGATATTTTATTTTGATTAATCTATACTTTAATCTACTATACTCTAGGTAAAAGTACTTCAATAATTACGTACGTACTTCAAAATGTACATTACCAAATGAGATTATCATAATAAAAATATATAAAAACAGTTAAATTTTTGATTGATCTAGAATATTAACGATACATAATTGGTAAATTTACAATTTTATGAATTATAGGGCAAAAACCAAAATGTTGCTTGTATGTTTATTATTCAGTGTAGTACTTAATATTTCTTTTGTGGTAAGTAGCTTTTTAATTCTTCTTTAGTTTTTTATTTATTAGGACTACGACATATTCATTTATCGTAGCATACGCTTTCTTGTTACATCAATGGAAGATGGTTGATCTTTAACGTTTGGGGGTATTTTTAGTTATGAATGTTTATTGGAATCATCTCCTATTACTAGTTCCTTTTACGACAGACTAGCAAGATGTACTAATGTAAAATAGGAAAGGAGTGTAAAGCGAGCATGACATATGTGCTAATTCCTTTCCAATCCCACACCGACCAGATTTTTGTAGCATAATCGGACATAAGTATAATCGGAAAGCTGCATACAACAGTTCTGTTAGGGTCCATTCTTCGATTATCTCTAGCACATTCTGTAGCCCATTCTGATATAGTGTTCGAATACTAAATTGTTGTAGAAATTCTAGTTAATGCCTCGTATTTGCGATTTTTTTGCATCTCCTCATGTTGGGAATTTGTTTTTATTGTACAGCCAGTAATTGACGGATTTGTAGTAAACTGTTTTTATTTACGAAAAAACAACTCAAATTCCTACAATATATAAAATTAACAATATAAAAAACTAATTAATTCATATTACTACTTAGTCCACGCTGTGAGGCCGCTCCCGTTGGGAAAATGTTTCTGATTCGGTTTCTTCGTGGATTCCGGTTCAAAAATGTCCCCGTTAAACAAAACTGAAGGATGCCGGGCGAAATTTTTGGGCAGAAATTGTTTAAACAATTTTTTTTAAACAAATTCCAAAAATATTTTTTTTAATCTGGAAAACGTTTTTTTTTAGGTTTTTGGGTCATTTTAAACAAAACAGGTCTCTTGTCGTTTTTCTCTTAAAGTTGATAGTTTTCGAGTTATAAGCGATTTAAAGTCTGAAAAACGCGAAAATACGCATTTTTGAGGCTTGAAAACACATATGTAAATTATTATTTTTGAGGTTACCAAGTGTCTAAATTGAAGTTTAAACATTCAACTTCAAGATTGTGTAGAGTAATCGAGGCTTATTTTAATTTAGACCGTTGTTTTTTAATTGTTAAATATGCGCGTACACTCGATTTTTCAGCCGCCGCGGCGCGGCGCGCTAGAGTGCGCTTCTATCGTACTTATGCATAGTTTACATATAAACTTACGCAAAAAAAACCCGAACAAATCCTTGAAGTTTATTAACATAGTTTTTTCCATAATGTATTTATGTAGGTAATAATTATTGTCATTGGGCTAATTAAATAAATCAATCATCGCAATGTATAGTTTTATTATATATAGTTTTTTTTCTTTCAAATTTGAACAATATAATTATTATTTATTGAGTATATATTTATTTATATCAATTGTAAATAATATTTTTAAATTATTATTTAAATAATACAATGCAGTAAATATTATTATTAGTAAACTTAATTTTAAATTACGCAGTGTTTAAAAACAATATACTATCGCAAAAATGCAAGTTTTTACCTGTTTAACAATCGCGCGCTCATACTTGATTTGTTATTACTTAAACGATCATTAGGAAGACTATTGTTTAATGCTCATTAAAAGGGTATTATATTATTAATGTGTTATTAAAAAAATTGTGAATGAATTTAAAATGTCTTTCCGTACCTCTTCTTAAATGAAAACTTACCGAAGAAAATTTAGTTTGTTTTTTTTGTAATAACATCAACAATATTAAGTTAGTGCAAAAACCTAAAGTAGATTTTTACATAACAATACAAAATGCTGCTCTTCGACGTAAAGACAGTGTGACTGAAAAATTTAATTTAATCTAGCCAATATACCTTGTACCTCTGACGCACTTTACCAACACTTGTTAAGAGCTTTCGCTAAAACATATATTTGGCGAAATGCCATATATTCCCGCTATCAAACTCTCGATTTTACACAATATGGATATTATGTCTGATAGTGGTGGGTTGGGAAACCGTGCAAATGCAAAAAGACTTGCAAAACTAATGCTTGCAACTGCAAGAAAAATCATGTCAACTGTTTACCATTATGTGGATGTGATTTAGATTTTTGTGAAAACAAAGGTACTTTTACTGAGTGATATTAGTGTGTTATTAACAATCTTTTGTACAATTATTTTATGTAACTATTATTAGACTTTAGACGAAATTTATATTATAACTCAATTGATATAAATAAATATGTACTCAATAAATAATAATTATTTGTAAGTATATGTAAACTATGCATAAGTACGATAGAGCCGCACGGTAGCGCGCGGCGCCGCGGCGGCTGAAAAATCGAGTGTACGCGCATACTTAACAATTAAAAAACAACGGTCTAAATTAAAATAAGCCCCGATTACTCTTCACAATCTTGAAGTTGAATGTTTAAACTTTAATTTAGACACTTGGTAACCTCAAAAATAATAATTTAAATATGTGTTTTCAAGCCTCAAAAATGCGTATTTTCGCGTTTTTCAGACTTTAAATCGCTTATAACTCGAAAACTATTAACTTTAGAGAAAAATGACTAAAAACTTTTTTTGTTTAAAATGGCCCAAAAAACCTAAAAAAACGTTTTCCAGATTAAAAAAAAATTATTTTTGGACTTTGTTTAAAAAAATTGTTTAAACAATTTCTGCCCAAAAATTTCGCCCGGCACCCTTCAGATTTGTTTTAAAGGGGACATTTTTGAACCGGAATCCGCGAAGAAACCGAATCAGAAACATTTTCCCAACGGGAGCGGCCTCACAGCCTGGACTAACTGTTCTCTTGCTGTCTGCATAATATTTAATAATGCCTAATATCTGGCATAGTCTTTAGAACAGTAGCAACGGGAAATTTCGGGTAACATGATAAAACTAAAAAAACTTAACTAAATATAGGGTGGATAAATAAATATTCCATACATATAATAAATTTTTGTAACACTCCCACCCGGTACATTTCTATGCGAAAGATAAATTGTACCACTTAATCTTCATCATCTTTTTTGTCTCCATTTATTGGTATTACTGATAATTTAATAACAATACGTTCATTGCTTCTCAGGTGATTTTTTAACTTCAATTATCTTACCCTTTGGCCAATTGCATCTTGGTAAATCTTTATCACATATAATTACAATATCGCCCTGTTTAATTGGTCCAACTTGTTTATGCCATTTTGCCCTAAGTAGTAGTTCAGGTATGTATTCAGAAATAAAGCGTCGCCAACATTTATTTGCAAATTGCTCTTTGTATATCTAATTAAATTTAAATACTTTAACATCTTCGTTTAAAAATCCAATTGGTTTATCTCTGTTTAAAGATCCAGTTAAAAAATGATTTAGGGTTATGAGATTCAGATTCTTCAGATTCTATTGGAAGATAGGTAAGAGGTCTAGAGTTTATTATGTTTTCTGCAGCTATGAGACACAACTATAACGTAATTGATCCCCACCCATACGTGGGAAAAGGGGTGCATTGAAGTGCAATTTTAGCTCTGGGCTAATCAGTGAATTGACTATTAATTTACTGTCAACCTTTTGCAACTCTTCTCTTAATACGAGTTCAGCTGCAATGATATTCGTACCTCGATCACAATAAATATGCCCTGGTCGTCCTCTTCTATTAATAAAATTTGTCAAGCATAAAATAAAACTGTCCACATCTAGTTTGTAAGCTAATTCGAGATGGACTGCTCTAGTCGTGAGACACGTAAATAATGCGCTCCATCTTTTCTCCGATTCCGTCTTCCAACAGTTACATTTATTGGACCAAAATAATCCATACCAGTGTGTGTAAACGGAGCAGTAAATGTTGGAAGCCTACATGGCGGTAGAGGTGACATTTCTGGTGGGTTTGGCTTAGCAAATTTGACCTTGCAATTTTGACAATTGGTCCTGATCTTATTAACTAGTTTTCTAAGTTTTGGTATATAAAATTTTTGTCTTATCTCATTTACTACAATTTTATGATTTCTATGGTGATTTTTTTTGTGATAGTCTTCAAAAACTAGTAAAGTTAAACGACTTACTTTCGGTAAAATGATTGGCATTTTTGTTTTTGAAATAACATCTCAAGCTTCATCTAATCTTCCTTTTGTACGAAGTAAACCATCTTCATCCAGATATGGCGATAATTTAAATAAACTACTTGCTTTATTAACTGTTTTCTGTTAATAAAGCAAAACTACCAGAAATATTAGTTTTTTATTGTTTTATTTAATTTTTGTAATATTCACATTGAGTTTGTTTTATTAAAATATTCCTAGCATCTTAAAGTTCTTCCGAAGTCAATACTCCTTTAGGCTCTTCAGATTTCATCAATTTTGCATAAACAATTCTTAAAAAATCGAAACATATATGCAGACGCTCTTAAAATTCTATTAAATTGATTCAAAATCTATTAAAAGTCAACTATTAAATTTTACTCGATTTTCAGCTTTTTCCTTTTTAAGGGTGGTGTCTGGAGGCCAACGTCTTGTCCATTTAGTAGCTTCGTTGGCTATGTTATTCTTAGAGGGTACATATATCCAATGTGAAACCATTAAGATTTGTTGAATTTCGGCCATCCTGTAAGCTACATATTTTGGTAATTTTCTTGGGTCTTCATTTCTTAACCCGATTCAAACTGTTGAACCCATTACTGCACCATTAAGTTCCAATCGGGAAATACTTTGTGGTTTTAATATTGTTATATGTTTCTTCACTCCAACCAAAAACCAAAGCAGAATTTGAGCTTGTTGGGTATTTGTATTTGTTGTACAGCCAGCAATTGACGGATTTGTAGTAAACTGTTTTTATTTGCGAAAAGTAACTCAAATTCCTACAATATATAAAATTAACAATATAAAAAACTAATTAATTCCCATTACTTACTGTTCTCTTGCTGTCTGCTAAATTATTTAAATTTTTCCCTAATCGGTGACAGTTTGTTTTCTGAAGTTTTAATATTATATCTGACATAGTCATTAGAACAGTATCAATGGGAAATTTTATGTAACATGATAAAACTAAAAAAAATGAATTAATTACATGGTGTTTAAATAAATATTCCATACAAATAATAAATATTCTTATCACCTAATCTCTCTGAATATTGTCTTTTGGTCGTCTTCCTTTGTATATAAATTTCCTTAGTACTAATCGGTGGTTACTTGCACATTTTTCTTGTATTTTTCTTACATAACACACTACATACTCTTAAATCGTTTTTGAAATTTGAAATTTTGTTTCTTGATTGCAGCTATCAGCAGATTTAACTGTAGCAACCACCTATGGAAATATTGAAGGTTACCTAAGAACAAGTCCAAATCATGTTACATTTAGAGCATTTCAAGGAATTCCTTACGCGAAACCACCACTGGGCAATCTACGATTTCAGGTAAATAAATAATTAACTACTTAAGCTATTAAATAGGTAATAACTAGACTTCGGCAATAATGCAAATAAAAATAGAAAGTAGAAAATATGCGCATAAATATGCAAGTGTTTACCCGAAATTATGCAAATATTTTACAAAATATGCATACAAATAAATAAAAAAATCGTAAAATAGTAACAATTTTATTTAAAAAAAAAGTGTACATAACTAAATATTTCCTACTATTCATTAAGATTTACATTTATTTTAAGTAACTACATCATTTTTAAGTATGAATAAACTTATTTAGAATTATGGTAACAATAAATGACCAAGTGGTGTTCAAAATTTTCTAACAAAAACTTGTGGCTTCTGTCTGAGTACATATATTTATATATGGAAAAACTTCGTTCCACATCAACTGATGTAACGGGAGCATTTTTCAAACTAACCAAAACATTTGGTTCTAAATTAATTGTTTCCGAAATATTTCCAGCTAGAACACTGACTACTTCAGAAAGAATATGGTAACCTTTATTTTTTTCCATAGTAGCTTCAAATTTTTTTAAAATATCTTTTCCAATATTACCTCTAACGTTCCGACAACATGACGCAAATTATTTTATTAATGCTGTACTTTCGAACAATGACAGCTTTGGTGATTCTAACTGAGTAATTGTTTTTTGAACAAAACTAAAATTTGATTTTATAAATGAAAGTTCTTGTTGAAGCAAGTTACTCTGAAAAGTTTGTTTAGAATCCAAAAGAGATTGGGAACTTTCATCTGTTAACGTATTAATTATGTTCTTTATTTTAACAAAATGATCTGCATAAAAATTAGCTGCTTCTAACCATGTTCCCATCGTGTTAAAATAGGTTGTGGTGGAAGAGGAATGTTAGGTAGCATTTCTTTATAAAGTTGAATTCTTATAGGAGATTTAAGAAATACTTTTTTGACACTGGATATCATGGTATTTACAAGAGGAAACTTTTTTTCGTATTTCCTCTGCAACTCTGTTTAATCCATGCGCTACACAAGTAACATGTATTAAATCTGTAAAAAATATTTTTAAATTTTGTCCTGCTTTCACCATATAAGGAGCAGCATCCGATAAAATAAGCAGTAATTTATTAGAAGGAATAGTTGTCGGAAGAAAAAAAGTTGCTAATGTTTCTTGTATAAAACGCGAAATTGTTAAAGCATTTGTTTTCTCAAGTTGCTGGCATGAAATAAGATGAGATTTTCATGAGGTATCTTCTTTAAGAACAAAAATCAATAAATGAGCAATATACTTTCCTGAGGAATCAGTGGTTTGGTCTACAGATATGTAAAAATAATTATCTGCAATTTCTTCCTTAATATTAATTAACACCGACGAGTATAGCCCGTTCACATTATTTCTTCTTAGAGACCGATCACTTGGAACATTAAGTTTGCAATATTTTTTTAGAAACGAACTAAAATTTACATTTGCTAATTTTGAAAGCGGTATGTTTGCAGACACTAATGCGCGACACAAGTCTTCATTAAAAGTTTCTTGCTCATCTAATTTTTTTGAAGTAGATTGGAAACATTTAGCCATTGAAGTTTGATGTTTTCCTCCTATTTTTCCTTTTTTTGCAATGTGTGAAGCAGTTCTCACATGTTGGTCTATCTGAAATTTCTTCTCACATGCTATCTATAAATTAAAATAAAAACCTTTATTTTAACCCAACCTTTAAAATATAAAAACATACAAGGTGTTTTTGGTTAATCAAATAACTGGTTTGGAAAAAAAAACACTCGCTAAGTGTTTTAAATGCAGTATTAATCCACAAATTAGTTTTTGTTACTAACCATTAGTACATCATACAACTTATTTTAAAATTCAACAAAAGTTTTTTTTTGTTAATTCAATTACAATAAAAATAATTGTGTTTTAGAATAGCTGACTTCATAAAAAAAAGTAAAGGTGAAAAATTTTTCTAAATACACACCATTGTATTGTACCATGGACAATTTTTTCTCACTAAAGGAAGCTATTTTTCATTTAAAAACAACCTACGAGTACTAAATTTCAAGTAAATACGTTTATTGGTTTTAAAGTTATTGTTGTTATTAACTAAAAGAATTTAATTTTTTTTAATTTTAACACCCTGTATCTCGAAAAGTAAATAAGTTTGACCCCTCATTAACTATATCGTTTTGTTCAATTTTTCGAGAAGTATCTACAGTCAAACGTTGTAAGTGTCATTTGGAAACACCCTGTATGTATGAAATATTAGATATTTAATAGAAAATATTAGATACTTACAATTTTGCCACAGACTGAACAGTAGATTTTTCCCATATCCATAGACAGCTCTTTATAAGGTTTAATCCAAGTTGAAGCACTGGTTGTTTTAGGCATTGTAAAATCACAATCTTCCTTTTTGTTACGCACAACGAGTGTTTACGCTTTGAATATCAAAACAAAAATGATTTACAAATCTGAGCATCAAATTAGAAATGTTTAGGTACCTAATTCAACAAACTGGGAGATTTTGGAAAGTCCCTAAATTAGGAACAAAACTATTACCGTTTACTTGCTGTTAAGATACAATAAATTGTAGATAGATTTGGGGATTAGATCATAAAATGCAAATGAGCGAACCCTTAGCGATTATCCAATAACTGAATGCCTCAGTGACCGAGACTTTCTAAGAATGTTGAGGGCTACTTAAATTGATCTTCTTTGAAATTGTAAATGTTTTGTACCTGTAGAGATTACGTACTTAGATCATTTCTTGATTAAAATGACAACAAAATTTTATGACAGAATTGAAATAAATTGGTATGTTTAAAAATTTTCAAATACAGTATAAAAATCTGAACTTTTATGCACTTTATGCAAACTTTTATACAAATATGCCAAAATATGAAATATTTGCATAAAATATGCACAATATGCAAAATATGCAATATGCATATTTGCCGAAGTCTAGTAATAACTTACAAACATTTTCACAAATATTTTACAGTCCTTCTGTTCAATTTGGTTAGTTTTCATTTACCTAGATGTCTTACATTATATTCTCGTTAAAGGCCCCCGTTCCTCCGGATAGTTGGTCTAGCGTAATAGAAACTAAGAAAGATGGATCTCGATGTTATTCAGTAGCTAAAGATACACCTGATGAAGATGAAAATTGCTTGTTTATTAATGTTTATACACCGATTTTAACTAAGGTAAGTATTTTTTAATAATAAAATAAACACTTTGATAACTTGTATTGTTTTTGTTGAATATTTTTAAAAGTGTACAAAACAACATTTCAGAGCAATGCAACCCTATTACCAGTCATGTTCTACTTATTCGGAGGCGGTTTTCGAGACGGTGCCTCCCAATATGGCGTCTATGGTCCTGATTACCTTATCGAACAAGAAGTTGTTATGGTATCCCTAAACTATAGAGTGGGCCCATTTGGATTTATGTCCACTGCAGATACTGTCATACCTGGAAATGCTGGTTTGAAAGATCAAGTTTTAGGATTAAAATGGGTTCAACAAAATATTAAGTCTTTTGGTGGGGACCCTGACAAGGTTACAATTTTTGGACAAAGTGCTGGTGGTGCCTCTGTTGGATTACATTTCATGAGTAAAAGTTCATCAGGTACGTTTTTATTTTTCGTAGTACATAAATACGATAAAAAAATAAAAAACTTTTTTCTTGGGAAAGCATTTGGTTACGGAATCCTATGTTATTTGATGTAGCCCTTTTAAGGGTTTTCTAAATATACCCATTTACAAAGATTTAACTTGGATCTACCTTGGACAGCAATTAAATTGTAATGCAGAAAATCACGGCGAAATTAGATCCAGAATAGAGCAGGCTAGAGCTGCTTTTAGAAGGATGTACAAGGTGTTATGTAACAGAGACCTCAAATTGGCATTAAGGATCCGCCTACTTCGCTGCTACGTGTTCTTGGTCTTACTTTATGCTGTCGAGTCCTGGACTGTAAATAAAATCGATCTAAATCGCCTTGAGGCTTTCGAAATGTGGTGCTATAGAAGAATTTTAAAAGTTTCCTGGGTGGAGAAGATTCGTAACTCCACAATACTTGAACGTCTCAGCAAGACCACTGAGGTCATAAAAAGCATCAAGCAGAGAAAATATTTCGGACATGTAATGAGAGGTCCCAAATATAGATTGTTACAAAATATCATGCAAGGAAAAATAGCAGGCAAACGCAGTCCAGGACGAAGAAGAACCTCATGGTTGAAGAACTTGCGAGATTGGTATGGTGTAGATACAAGCATGCTATTTAGGGTGGCAGTGAATAAAATTAAAATAGCTATGATGGTAACCAACGTTCTGAAGGACATGGTACATGAAGAAGAAGAAAGATTTAACCTCTTTTTTTTAAATTATAATTGTCAGAATGATTTCCAATTTTCGATAGGACCGGAACTTGAAGAAGAAAAGTAGTTTGAATACTGTCCTCGGGATTCGAACTTCATTCAAAGGGAGTGAATGCTACAACACAACACAAAGCGACATCATAAAGACAGCGCAAAAGAAGAAAACGAGGGAAAAGCACATTATGCTTTTCCAACAGAAGACGAAATGAACACAAGGTCAATGTCCAATTACCAAGACCATTCACACAAAGTAGTAGTCTCTCCAATAATGTGGAGGAATGGTGGGGCATGTAGGGAGCATTGAGGTGGGATGGTTTATCTTAGCCTACCACAGGTTATGGGTGTCCGAATGTTTCTCAGGGACATGAATGCTTCTCGAGGCCATGTTAGATGCCTTGCAAGATGCGTTTATATTGAAAAAAACTGTCAGGCGTTTATTAATAAATTTACTAAAATTCATAACAAATTTCATTGAGTGTTGCTTGAATTTATTAATTAATCTTTTATTATCAAAGGTCTGTTTAGAGGAGGAATTGCTGAAAGCGGCTCTGGAATAAGTAACTGGGCATACATTGCAGATCCTAAACCATATGGTTACGAATTAGCTTCCTTAATAAATAGCACAATCAATCTCGATACAAGTTCAGCTCTCCTTAGTTTTCTTCAAAGTGTTCCAGCCAAGCAAATAGATATTGCTTCCACAAAAACTACAAAAATAGTAAGTAAATTTATTATATTTCTAACACTATTATTTCTTTATTTTTAATCGTTTGCATCAACCATGCCAAACCAGATCATGGTATGTGACCATGGTCACAACCAGATGTATCACCAGATAAACCTCTGGTGTATGTGTTAAGTAAGCGCCTTATTACTAAGTAAAGTAAGCTTCATTGCCTTTACATAGTCATTTCCTACATCTAAACGACTGCAACGTTTTAAAATAACTATTGTAATGTTGTTTCTCACGATTTAATGTAAAATATGTTTCGTTGTCTTTAACACTAGGCTTCAATAAATACACTTTTCTAGGAGTTTTTATCAAGTCATTAGAATATTATTACGCAATAATTCAGTCTTTCTTAACAGTCTTCTTTCCTAGGGTGTAATTCTGTTACCAGTTCTTGTTAACTTAATGCCCCTGCCATTAGCAGTTGCTATTATTGTATAGTAAGTACAGATAAATATTCCAGTATATGCGCTTCAAAAAATGCCGTAACTAACAAGCAAGACAAAATTTTATTACATTTAAACCGCTACTATGTATTCGCAATATCTCCTTCAATCTCCGCTACAAGACGGTTAGATGCTCTGCTTGGTCCATATTGTTATGGCGCATGAAGATATGGACGTTAAAAATATCCTCTATTAACAAGTTGAAGGCCTTAGAAATATGGATCTTGCGAATAATGTTCAGCACACCATGAACAAATAGGAGATTCGCAAAGATTGACGGCAAGAGAAGAGTAGATTGCAAACAAATGTCGTGGCTACGGAATATAAAGCACTGGACATGCATAGATAACACTGGCGAGCTTTTGCATGTTGCAAAAGACAGACGTATGGACTTAGGATAATTCGCTAATGCACTATAATGGAGAGGCCTTCAGTGTTCACAATCTGTAACGGCGCATCTAGTTTACAAAAGCTTATTTTTGGTAACAATGGGTTTGTTTTATTAAATTCTAGTACCAAATCGCTTACTAGGATATCAGTAATATTATTACATATTATTCATATTTTTGCCTTTCAAAGAGCAACGTTAGTAACGTTTAACCCAGCGTGACCTGGTAATAACTTAACTTTCGACAAAGTATTAAAAAAGTACCTATTATTTATTTAACTATGCTTTTTTAAGAATTATCTTTTAACACGATTACTAATAAAAATCATACTTCGTAGGACCATACACTTCCAGTGATTGAGGTCGAACATGAGGGAGCATTTTTAACAAAAAATATGTATCAAGCATTGAAAAGTGGTGATTTTAATCGAGTACCTCTTTTTATTGGAGCTAATTCGGAAGAATACATATCTTTAGCAACAGGTAAGTCATATAACATGTATACGTTGATGTCAAGCAACATCATCATCATCAATCAGCCAATCGCGTCCACTGCTGGACATAGGCCTTCCTTAGTTCTTTCCAGTGTTCTCTACACTGGGCCACTTGTAGCCAGTTTCCCGCTACACGTTTTATGTCATCGGTCCATCTAGTCGGTGGTCGTCCTCGGCTTCTTTTATAGTTTCTGGGCCTCCATTCCATAATACGTCTTGTCCACCGTCCATCTTGTGTTCTGGCTAAGTGCCCTGTCCAGTTCCACTTAAGCGTCGTGGTTCTTTCGATGACGTCTTGAACTCCTGATCTTTGCCTGATTTGTTGATTTGTTATTGGTCTCGAAGGCTCACGTTCAGCATTGCACGTTCCATGGCTCGTTGTGTAACTCTGAGTTTATTCGCAGATTTTTGCGTGAGTGTTAAAGTATCTGCTCCATAAGTTTCTACAGGCAAAACACATTGCTTATAAATCTTTCGCTTGAGACACATGCTAATTGAACTTTTTAGAATATGGCTTAATTTGCCAAATGCTGCCCATGTTAGGCCTATTCGCCTCTGTATTTCATGTGTTTGATTGTCTCTGCTTATTTTGATTTCGTGTCCGAGATATTTGTAAGTGTCTGTTTGTTGTATGGTAGTATTGTCAAGCAACATGCTAGCTAATAATTCTGAAAATAGTCGACCAATCATGTTGATAAACACATTAAGATATCAAGCAACTTTTACTCAGCTGCACAGTATTTCGATGAGTACAAGCTGGCTGGACAAACTTATGATTATATTAACGATCAGATATCTGTAATATATTTTTCACTTAGTTCATTTTCTAGACTGGAGTATAAAACTTAAGAAGATTTCCTTTGTGTTATTGTAATATTATGGTATTATTATATTTATTTTATAAAAATAATTTTTTTCTAACTGTTGTATCTCTTTTTATAAATTTACAGATATGGATTCGTTGAGAAAACGAGCGGCGTCCTATGATAGAAGTTTGAAAAACTTAGTGCCACGTACCATGAATATAGTAAACATGCAGAAGTTAGATGAACTTGGACACACAATTAAAGAAATCTATATGAGTGCCAATGAAACCTTCGAAGATAATGTGGGATTAGCTATTGCTGTACGTATTTGTTATTTTTCTTTATTGTTCATGTGACATGTTTCTTTGGGAAATAACTTACGTTAACTAAAGAAAGGGGATACTTGGGCGATCTCAAATCCAGATCTAGGTTAAAAAATATTGGAAATTATAGCCAGGACTTGGGTTTCTGAGCTATGCGAATGACATGGTCATTTTAACCCACGAATAAATTTAATGGAATAGTCAAAGATATAATACAATAGGCTCTTTTTGCATTATATTATATGTTGTCAACGCGAATTAACAAAAAATAGGTACACTAATTTAGGTACAGAAACTGAAAAGAACTGTTTCACACATCCATACCCTCTTTTCTGTACTTTTGCTGTCTCCTCAGTACGATCATAGAAACCCGACTTCCAGTAGTAGAAAAACTCACACATACCAAAACATAGCCTAAAGAGAGAGAAGACTATAGGCTATACCTAAACGGGAAACCCTTAAATCCGAACATAAAATTCTCAAAAACAGATGCTAGAAAAAGCTGACAAATCATTCAGAAAAGCATTCTCAGTTAGGGGGAGGCAGCTACGAACGCCAAAGCGTCAAGTTTTGAAATATATCTCGCAGTCACATAGGAAACTTCAGAAAGAAAAATTACAAACCAGTGCCTTTATATCTGGACAACAATGTATCATTACAAAATACCTGTCGTAAAAGCCTACGCCCTTTGATAACTTATTATGGATTTTTATAATTAGTAATTTATTATTTTTGATATAGTATTTAAACTAATAGAAAACATATCTAATGTAATCTATAATTTTTAGTACAATTCAGAAAGCCACTTTTTGAATCCATGTGTAAGACACGCTGAAATCCAATCACAATATACAGATGTGTATTTTTATAAATTTTCGTATGCAGGACCATTAGGAAGAAACACTAATATAACTTTACCAGGTATGAATAAAATAATTAATCAAGAGTTCATCAAATACTAACTGGATTCGGCCATTACTTGATGTAAATTCATTTTATATAACAATAAAACAGTGAAAACTTTGTTTTCAAAACTTCCACAAAATCTATTATAATATCTAATCACTACAGCTGTTTGGGCAGAGCGACTTTCACGAAAGTGATCTATTTTTGAGTATGTATTTACACTTTATAGTCTTTAACCGAATAGGTTGCAGAGGGGAGAACTGTTTGTCTCAAGTTGGTCATTCAGAATTATCTTTGTATTTTTAATTTGTTAATTTGAAGGAATATGCCTAAGGTCTCAAGTGAACGAAGTTTAATCATATCATAAACGGCAGAAATATTACAAGAACTACTAGAAACTCGACTCAAAATTTACGAGCTCTCTAATATAAACTTCAATCTGGAGATTCTCTCTAAAACCAAACCAAAGCCAAACCTAGACTGCAAACTTTGAATAATTTTTGAGTAATTGTCGGTTACTGCAGGAAAACTCTCCACTAATCGTCTGGCCTTACTAGACTCTAAAGTGGCTTGTCTCAAATAAGCTATCCTATCAGTCAAATCAATTGATGGATCGTCATGCACTACTTTGAACTGTAACCAAAAAGGAAGACAATCTTTCAAGTCTCCATTAAATTTTTTGAACTCGATTGGAGGTTATTTAAATTTGCGCTTACCTTTTATAAGTTGTTTATTATCTCACGTTTATAAGTTGTTTATGAAGATAATAACTAATAGGTTGACATCAAAACTAGACTTCTATCAACCTTGCGAGCAAGCAGGATTTAAAGCTGGATACGGAACAAATGATCATTTGCAAACCATTAAGTCGTTGATTGAAAAAACCATTGAATATTAATAGACCCCTGATACTTGTCTTTGTCGACTTTGAAAAAGCATTTGATACTGTCAATCAAAGTGAAATGCTCCAAGCTCTAACACAATGTAGAATAGATCACCGATACATATCTCTCATCAGATACATCTATCAACATGCTACAGCCTGTGCAAGACTTAATGAAGATACTGGACTTTTCGTATTGAAAGAGGGGTTCGGCAAGGAGACAACATGTCTCCTAAATTATTTACAGCTTTGCTAGAATACGCTTGTAAAACAATAGATTGGAACGAAAAGGGCATCAATGTAGATGGAAAATTGTTAAATAACCTTAAATTTGCAGATGATATCGTTCTTATTGCAGACATCTTTGACCAGGCACAGATAATGCTCCAAGAACTCCATACTGCCACAAAAGAGTTGGTCTTAAAATAAATTTTTCAAAAACACAATTTATGACAAATTTAGTCCACAACATCTCAGTAGAAGACAAAGATATTGAGCCAGTTGACACCTATAAATACTTAGGCCATGAGATCAGAATAAGTCAGAGACAACCAAACAATCGAGCTGAAAAGAAGAATAAACCTCGCTTGGGCTACATTTGGAAGGATGAAGGATATTTTTAGGTCTAAGATTCCAATGTGTCTGAAAAGAAAAGTATTTAATCAATGTATTTTGCCAGTGATGACCTACGGCGCAGAAACGGCATCGAGAATTATGTTAGGGATTTCTCTACGTGATATAATACCCAATGCTACTATACGCAAAAGATCAGGAGTAGCAGACGTTATTGAAAGGATAACAACACTAAAGTAGAACTGGGCAAGTCATGTAGCAAGATCAGTTGATGACCGGTGGACAAAAAGAATTTTGGAATGGAGACCCCGAATACAAGCCAACAGAAATAGAGATCGACCCCCAACGAGATGGACAGATGACATAAAAAGAGTGACTACAAATTGGATTCAGATGGCGCAAAATCGGACTAAGTGGAAAAGCATGCGAGAGGCCTATGTTCAGCAGTGGACGTTAGAGGCTAGGTACTTTCAATTGTACCGCACTTTCAACTGTCACATAGCTCATTGTACTTTACTTGGAAAAGTTCCGACTGTACGATAATTCTTCTATCAGTGTCGAAAATGTACCGCACTTTCACTACAAGTCATGTACTTTACTGTAAAGTTGACTGTACTAATTTTCTACCAGGTCGAATGTCACGGTTCATACAAACAGTCCAACAGTCAACTTTCGTAAATGGACTACGAAGAACAGTTCTGCGTTTTTATCTGATTCCATGTTTCGTTTAAAAAGGTTAACTTTGGCCGAGGCTCGGATATCACGACAAAAACAAGATTATTCGCCGGAAAAAGTTTGCACTAAATAAACGAAAATAACTAACTTTTAAGCACATCGTATATAAGTCCTGTCACGGTCGCCAAATATTACGTTTTGAATGTCCTACAATTAATTTTCGCAGTTCGAGACTCCTGGTTCTAAAAAATACAAAATTAAATTTCTATTACAAAAATTACTTTTATATTAAAATACACAAATGTGACTTAAAGGGTTATTTAATTAAGTATGTGTCGGTGATACAAATTCGACTAACTAACCCTATCTACGCAATTGTATATATTCTTATAATATGATATTAGATACTTCCTACATTCAGACGAGAAAGTCATTAAATTTTAATTGCTTTCACCAGCCCTCAGCCGGAGAGACGACACGCTGATTAGGGAATTTTTAAATAAACATATTACTTAAGTATTAACTCGACACTGCCGAAACAGGTGTAGTAATAAGATATTATAATTAATTTTGTGGAAGTTGTCAAAACAAAGTTTTCAAAACTTCCACAAAATTTATATTGCGGTCAGGGTAGCCAAGGCTAGGCAACTGACGAAATTCTTTAGTGGAAGTTGGTTCGAACCCTGGCCCCGGACAGAAAAACAAAAAGGCTAAAGTAGTAGGTTTAGCCATCTTTAGCATCTTCGATGGCGAATTAGGTAAACTGCGAATCTAAGCTTGCTGAAAGCTATAGGACGATCCATAAGGAAACTAAATTCCTGTAGCTGGCTGTATACTATGTATTACAAATTATTTAAAAATTCCTTTATATAAAGTATAATATTAAAAACCCTATCGGGCTACATCACAGAACGTTTTCGGAATTAATATTCCATCATCAGTGCTATCTGGATGTAAATGTTGAAAGCCACTAAATACATAGATAAAAACCCTTTAAATGTTGTTAATACTTGATTACATTATTTAACTTTACTATGATGTTTAAGTTAACAGAATGATAACATGGCAACGTAAGACTTCACTGCAGGTTGTTAGTCCTGAGACGAAGTGTCTACTAGGACTTGTTGATAGCCAAGGCCAAGGCTATGCTATGATAGTCGTATGATATATGAGTAATGGTTTAATTCTCTATTCTAGGTGCAGAAAAAGATACACATGGAGAAGAACTATTTTATATATTTAAAAGAGCCTTAAATGGTTATGATAATAGCGATTTAAGCAAGTTCCCAAATAACGATGTTTTAACTCATAAAAGAATGATAAAGTTATGGACAAACTTTGCTAAATATTTGTAAGTATAGTGATTTATATCAATAACTTTTTATCGTATATTTACATTGTATTGTCTTGCTTGTTAATTATTCTTCTTGTTATAGTCATACTTTTAAGCATTTTCATTTTGGCAACACGCATTCATTGTTCTTTCTTCTTAACTGTGCAATATTCAATGTAGTAGATTATAGCTAGTCCTGCGACGGCATTCTTGCTTTAAATTTCATATGACTGATACCTACATTGTGTGGACTGACAAACCATATATTGGACAGACTAATCGAAGAATCCAAGTAAGATTGGAAGATCATCGAAGAGAAAGAACTTTTTAAAATGTATTAAAGGAACAATGCCCTAATCATATAATCAACCAGTATGTTATATTTAACCTAATTTGCTACTTTACTGTCCTAAATATTCTCATACCATTTTTATCACTACCGCAAGATGCGACGGTTTGCGACGGCAAATCTATTAAATCGATTTTAATAAAATTTGGTGGACTGTTTTATTATATGATAAACAATTTCTGGGCGAATTAGGAAAGTCCCGACTGCAGTCTAAATGGTTGAAAAACATTGAATAATAAAAGGCTTGCTTCCCTCCTTTTTGTATTTATTACTATTTTGCAGCAAGGATAATAAATTAAAACATTTTTAACCAGCGGAATGGAAGGAAAGTCTCCTGCTACCGATACTTAAAAAGGGAGACTCGAGAAATCCCGAAAATTATAGAGGCATTAGTCTGATGAATAGTACATTAAAATTGTTAACGGCAGTCATAAAAGACAAAATCGAGGAAAAAGCGAACATGGCTGATGAACAACGAAGCTTCCGGAAGAACCGTAGCACAATAGACGCAATTTTTATTATCAGACAAATAATAGGGAAGTCTATTAAATATGGAAAACCAGCATACATGTGCTTTGTAGATTTAAAAAGTGCTTTTGACAGGGTGAAGCGAAATTACATCTTAAATTTATTACAAGCTGAACAAATAGACCATCAGATAATAAGGACAATGAATGAAATTAACAAGAACAACAAGACCAGAGTTATAATGCCAACAGGAGAAACAGAATGCATAGAACTAAAAGAAGGAATCCGCCAAGGAGACTCCCTCCGCCATTGTTATTCAATATTCACCAAGTAAGAAAAACGATACGGATACCACATGGAGTGCATAAAATCACGATACTGTGCTATGCCAATGATGCCGTACTAATTGCTGATAACGAAGATGACCTACAAAGGCAGCTCCATACCTTCAATATTACAGCAAACAAACTTAATATGAGATTATCAGTAGAAAAAAACAAATGTATAGTGATCAGTAGAGAGCCGCGTAGATGCAAACTAGAATTAGACGGCAAAATTGTAGAACAAGTAATGAAATTCAATTACCTGGGAGTAGAGATCACTAGTGACAGGGATATAAGAACAGATACTACAAGGCTAGCATTAAAAGCGGCAAGAATAAGTGGTTACCTCCGAGAAACCATACGGAGAAACAAATATCTGACCACGTAAAGCAAAATGAAACTCAACAACAGATAGCACTGGATAAACTGAAAGACCCAATGATACAAGCAGAAATAAGCAATGAAATAAACGCACAAATTCAAATATTGATGACAAACATTACCGAAGATATAACACCAACATGGAATACGATTACAAGTGCTGTAACAGACATCATTTACAACGACAGCACGACGACCGTAATTTACATAAAAAGCTTAAGGAGACTGCTGGAATATACAGAAAACGAAGACCAACTACCACAGTTAATCAGGATAACCAGATAGTGCTGGGTGAAAAGGAGAAAATTGATATATGGGAAAATTATATCCAGGAGCTCTTCCACGACGAAAGACCCATGAGTGAAGTTTATACAGACGACCAGCTGACTGCCCCTTCCCAAAGAGGAGATAGAAAAGGCAATATTAAATTCAAAAAACAATAAGGCACCTGGACCAGATGAGATCCCGTCAGAAATACTCAAATTACTAGATGAAAGGGAATTTCAGCACTACACAAAATATTTAATTTAATTTATGAAACTGGCTGCTATGCTCAACAGTGGTTACGCTCTACCTTTATTCCCCTGCTCAAGAAAGTCAATGCAAGAAGATGTGAGGATCACAGACTCATTAGCCTGATGAGTCACACTTTAAAGATATTCTTAAAAATACTACATCAAAGATTATACAAAAAATGTGAATGGGACATCAGTGACTCCCAGTTCGGGTTTAGGCAAGGTTTAGGAACACGAGAAGCAATAGTAGCAACACAGGTGCTGGTCCAAAATTGTTACGATCAGAGGAAGGATGTGTTCCTATGCTTTTTAGATTACCAAAAAGCGTTTGATCGTGTCCAACACCACAAGTTAATGCATATTCTCAAGAAAGTTGATATAGACCAAAAAGACATAAGATGCATTGAAAACTTGTACTGGCATCAAACGGCACAGTTAAAAATAGACAATTCTATATCCAAACCCATACATATAAGAAGAGGCGTTCGACAGGGATATGTGATTTTCCCTCTTTTATTTACATTTATTCGGAAGCCATATTTCAAGAGTCTTTGGAGGATGCAGAGATGGGAATCAAGGTAAATGGAGTATTGATCAACAACATACGATATGCTGATGATGGTGTCTTAATTTGTGACAACATAGTCGATCTTCAACAACTTGTCACTATAATCGGAGAATACAGTAAGCGAATGGGATTAGAGATTAATACCAAAAAGACCAAATTCATGATCATCTCCAGAAACTTAGATGCACTTGAAAACTCCACCATAACACTGAATACTAAGTCCATTGAAAGAGTGAGTAAATTTAAATACCTGGGATCGTGGCTTTTTGAAGACTGGGCATCGGACAGGGAAGTAAAATGTCGCATTGAGCAAGCTCGACAAGCTTTCGTAAAATTCAAGAAGGTACTGACTTGTTCAGAGTTCGATCTTCAACTGAGACTAAGGTTTACTAAGTGCTACGTATGGTCAGTGCTGCTATATGGCGTAGAGGGCTGGGCACTCAAAACGAGGGATATAAACAGATTAGAACCTTTCGAAATGTGGCTTTATCCTGGCTCCGAAACATAAGGCAATGGACAGGGATTAACGACATACAATCTCTGATACATATTGCAAGAAATAGAGAATTAATGGAAAATGTGATCGCTAACATTCATTAGTGGATTTGCATCTAAAGAAGAAGATGAAAGCAAAATGGAAGTATATAAGACATTCCTAAGACCAATCCTAACATATGCAGCGGAGACAAGGACCGATACAAGAAAGACGAAAAAACAAATCAACAATATCGAAATGAAAGTATTAAGATCAATAGCAGGCATATCATTAAGAGACAGACAAACCAATAGAAGTATACGCGAACAATGCAAAATTCAAAATATTAACATGAGGATAAAAACAAGAAAAAAATACTGGAACGAACATGTAAACCGAATGGGACCAGATATTAGCGAACATCTGTAAAAACAACAAGCTGTATAGCAGAAGACCCGTTGGAGGCCGCCAAAAAGGGGGAAAGATAATGTACAGTCAACAACGACTGAAACAGAATAAGAGGCAGACAAACAGGAGTAATCCTAGTCACACGAAGAAGACTTTTTAACCAGTTTTATCTTAGAGAAAATTCAATTATGGCTATTTTATTATTTTATTTGTAGAACAACTTACAATTATGGCTATTTTATTTTAGTACAAACTTTGTTCCAAAACGAACCTTTTTAAAGTTTTAAGCAAGGAAAGTAGGAAAAAAACGATGTTTTTGGTAATTTGTAAATATTTTAATGTTTTATTAATACTCCCGAGCTATTTGAACGAGAGGATAATTCGATTATTATTACTGATATTATCACACAACTTTCTTGGTAAAAATCATAATGCCGTCTATCATATCCACCTCAAAACAGATCGCCCTGGTCTACACAGTTTTTAAAATCAAACTATAGTTTTATTTTTATGAACGAGAAAGTAATTAGCATAATTTTAACTGGTACCTCCGACCACTCCATGGGCGTGCTCAAGATTAATTGAAAAATTACTTTGAATAATATTGTAAAAAAATAAATGAATTATTTCAGTGTTATAAAGTGTTATGTGTATGTAAACAAAAGTGACCTCTTTTATCACACACTATATTAGAACTGACTGGCCTACATTAAAAAGGGTTTTAAAAAAATTCACATTTTTTTTAATTTTTAAAAATTACAAAAGAGAAAAAGAGTTTTTAAAACCGTCTAAGGTATGTTAAATAGATGAATAAAAATATTAATATAAAACTTACAGCTACTTGTTACAAATCCAAATCAGATTCAGAAGATGAACTTTCAGAACCAAGATTTATAATAACTGGCTCGATCATTTTATCAGTAATATTGTCCAGCTTCCACATTTTTTCCTCTTCTTTAATAGTGTGATTTTACTGCCTTTTCCCAGTTTTCAGGTTTTACATTATTTACGGCCTCCAAAAACAACTGTTTAACATCATGAATTTTAAAAGTGGTATTTTTTCTTGAAACTTCACTCTTTATCTGTGCCCATACCAGTTTAATCGGGTTTAATTCACAATGATATGGTGGGGATCTACGTACTATCATTCCACGATTTTTGGCAATTTCATCAATTTCGTATTTTTTAAATTTTTTTTTATGAAGGGCACACAACGAATAAAGTTCCTTTCTTATAGATCCGGGAGTGTACGTAATATTTTTTGAAACTCAGCCAATTCTGCAAGTCTTTTTTTAACCACTTGGTTGTGGGCAGTCCTTCTATAAGTCTGGAGTGATAACTTGCATTATCCATTACTATTACACAGTTCTTAGGAAGAAGATCTATCATTTGTTCGAACCATTCTTGAAAGACATCAGCGTTCATGTCTTCATGGTAGTCACCGGTACGAGTTGATTCAAAAGTTAATAAACCACCTTCAACAAAACCGCTCTGAACTGCCAATGTGTACTATTTCATATTATCAGCCTGCGTCCCTTTCCTGATGGTGGGTTTAAACCAGTAGATAAGTTATTTACAAAAGCGTGCCTTTGACTTGTAACAGTTTCATCCTGCCAAAATTTATTTGGTGTATGACCCTCGTTGATCCATGTTTCATCAAGATAAAATATTTTTCTTTTTGGTTTCTCATTTCCTTTATGGTTCTTAGAAAATGTCTTCTCCATATGACAATATCGCTTCTTTCTAATAAAATAGACTTTCTGGGATTCTTTTTCCAGCGGAAGCCTATTTCTTTTAAAAGTTTCCATAACGTACTTCGACTCATTTCTGGGTAATCCTTATCATCTCGAACTGAGACAAGAACTTTATCCAATGTTGGAAATTCTTGTCTAAAGAAGAATTCATGCACTTTCCGTCGAAGTCCTACTTTAAAATGATATTCTATTTGAAATTTTGGTTTCCCTGGAGCATTACGTGGCATTTGAAAACTACCACATTTCTCTTCTTTAATAACTCTGTAAATCGTAGATTTCCCAACACCAAGTGTACTGCTAACTAACTCAACGGTCTCATCAACACTTTCACATAAACGTTTGTCTGTAAATGATTTAAAACAATTAAATATTAATGTTTTTTCATTAACTGTTAAAGGACCAATTTTTCGGCGTTTACACTGGCACTTCCAAATTTTTCATAACACTAGTATACACAATAAACTGCACCTTGCAACTGAAGTACCTACTTTTAGTGAACTGTTAAGAATTTGAATACGCCACTTGGACCTTCCTACAAAATGGAAAAACCCACTATCACATTTTCTGTGGAATAAGTTTAGAAGGTAATTATCTAGTCAATTACTGTCGTAGATTCCTGGAATTAAAGAATTAAATGTTTGATTGTTGAAACCCTTACTTCGTGGAATGCACTCATTTCAGATAAAATAAAACGTTTTATTTTATCTAAAGAATTAAACTTTATTTTGCAAATAGGTAGGTACTTATTAAACTTTTATTGGTTATATATATAACCAATAAAATAAACATCTTACATTTCTTGCAAATTCATTAGTACCTGTTAACCTCCATCACTCCGACACTGGCAACCTTATTTAGGGATTAGTAACCCTCACAACTATTGTATTCTATTCTGCTCCAACCTTTATAATCCTGGTGGTCATACTCAATTTAAAATTGTTTTCCTATATACTTCTGTAAACATGTTGACAAATATCTATTTTCATTGAGTCACCGTATCAACAGTTTAGGATTTGCATAATAATTTATTGTTTTATTACTCTCTCATACATAAAAATACACTATAAGTGTCTCCCGTTCTCTCTTCACATTTGTTATTAATCCGCTTAGGAAGATTGCTTTGAGTATGTGACTCATTAAGCTAATTAGGCGATTAATGGATTCTTTTTAATTGCTGTGAAAGTTGATTTCAGCTAAAATACTGTAAAATGAAACCAAACAACATTCTGAATACAAGCACTTTAAAAAGACAAATGACAAAGTTAAAACGTACTTATTTCTTATTCCAATTTTTTTTCGACAAAACATACTTTAACGTTAGAAGTTTATGAGCTTTTACACTTCTTAAGGAAATCATTAATGTATATTAAAATTTGTTAAAAAATTGATATTGTGTGTAATGTACCTACATCAGTCTCTTCGCTTTTTCTGAACAATAAAAGATACTTTTATCAAATAACGATTGTTTTTTATAGAAATCCGACTCCAGAAACTGATCCCTTATTGCAGAATATAGTATGGCCAAAATGAAACCAGGTCAGTTAAATTACGTGAACATCGACACTGATCTTTTGATTGAAAACAACATCAAGCATGGCAGATACATCAAATGGAGAGATTTATTTGAAGAAAATGCTATAGACCCCGTTATGTTTTAACTTGTATAAGATTTAAAGATTGTTTTGTAGGAATTATTAAATAAAAACATCTTAATTTCATTTTTGTATTTATCAATTCTAAAATTAACTTGATTTTCCAAACAGTTAACTTTAGCATTTAATATTTGTGTATATTTTAAATGGATACAAAAGGAATAGGTTAGAATAAATTAAAAAATGTTGTACAAAAAGTAAATTGAGGCCATCCCCGGAAAAAGGGCTCATAAGCCTATGGGACGTTTTTCCGCAGATCGTTTAAATCGATCAATTTCAAATACAGTTCATTTCGTCCAAGTTTGGCAACAATTATGTCTCAAACCTGTATCATTCGATAAACAAAACATTTACTACCATTTAACAAAGTTGTGTTCGCGTCCGTTGTTCGTTTGCTTGTCGTTAACGTAAGTGTGTTTATTGAGCTTTAAAAATGGATTTTGACGAAGAGGTAGTTAGACAAAAACTGACAAGAAGATTAATGTGATGCGAGAAAAAAGAAAAGTTAAAAGGCAATCAGGTAAAATATACGTCACCTCGACAGGTCGCAATGTTGAAGTCATTTCAGTTAATCATAAAATGCTGCCTGGACAAATGTTTTACCCGTTTAAGTGTCGATGATCAAAAACATTTATTTCAACACTTTTATTTACAAGCAAAGCCTCAACAGGACTCTTTGTTGGCTCAGTGTATGAAAAAAACTTTTGAACTTATATTGCTTTATCAGGAATATTGCTTTTCCAGAACTCCAGTACGTATGGATTACTAATGAAATCCACGCCTCTAGTCACGTAAGAAAATAGAACGCGTGTACTGGAGGGTTAAATAAATATACTTCATTCGCTTAGCTCGGGCATATTTTGACAGATTCATTGTCGGAAACCTACAACACAACAATTCCTACTTCTCAGTATGAATAGCTCAAGTATACTACTATTGCAGACTTCTTTCTTTGAAAAAAAGAAGAATTATTCTAAATAGTGGAAGTGTATATTAAACCCATCAATTTTGGGTAGTATATATTTAAAAAATATATTTTAGTTGTTATAATTTAACATATAATATTTATTATATTGGTGGAGATAAATAAATATTAATTGTCGGTCATTCGCAAAGTTTTATTTTATTTACTATTTAGTTTGTTTACTATTAATATTGACTATGAGTACGTGTGCTTGGTTGTATAGTAATTCCAGCCACTTTTAGTCTGTCAAAAAGTAACTAACTTCGCAATAAAAATAATTACTAAATTCACTAGACAGTTCGACTGGCAATAGCGAACCGAGTATAATGCCATTTTTTGCCCTAATTATACCATAAAGGACTTTTTAATTAAAATTTTTGGGATTTATGCTATATAGTCGACTACAGGAAATTCATTTTCCTTGTGGATAAGAGATATCTTGTGAGTAATTTCAGCTTGGCCAATGAAATTTAATCAAAAAACCGACAGCACACAAAGACACACACACGCACACATTTCGTGTCGCAGTGTGGAAAGGTCTCTCGTGATGCCCACAGACCACGTGATGCCAAACGACCCCTTTAATACAATCTACAAAGACAAAAATAGAAAATATGACAACTCTGTTTTTTAACCAGGAGAAGTAAACTAAAAAGCCAGATTCACACCCAAGAAAGTTACTAGAAAAGTCACCAAATACATCTTCTTTTTTTGTTTATTAATCTCGGCCTTGCGGTAATCGAATAATCAATATCGGACAACCTAAAGGTCAATTCAGACACATCAGTCCCTTCACAGTCTCGGCGCCGAACCGGTCCTGTTTCGTCACACAGAACTATCAACTATCTGACAGATGGGAAACTGTTCGTCAACTGATGAATGTGAATGCCGGCGCCATATTTCTATTAAAGAATATTTTGTATGACGAATTGTTCGGTTCGGGCTAGGCTAGGACTGTGACGAGACGTGACTGAATCGACCTTTAAGGTCGATTCAGACACATCAGTCCCGTCACAGTCCTCGGCGCCGAACCGGTCCTGTTTGGTCACAGAACTATCAACTATCTGACAGCTGGCAAACTGTTCGTCAACTGATGAATGTGAATGCCGGCGCCATATTCTATTAAGAATATTTGTATAACGAATTGTTCGGTTCGGCGCAAGAACTGTGACGAGACGTGACTGATGTGTCTGAATCGACCTTACACGTCAATTCTGACCTAACTTTGTTTATTTAGGTTTGAATAATAATTGTTTTCAATTCATTTCCAATATATATTACATAAAAAAAAATTACATTTTTCACATTTGGTTCCATGTATATATATTTAAATATCGGGTGATCCAATTTTATAGATCTCTTGAGTCTATGGTATTTAATTATAATTTAGAGAATATTTTGATCCAGAGAGTCAATAATGATACAGATCTAAGTATGGTTTTTCCACAGAAATTTGTCTTTTAGAATAGATCTTATATGCAACAAAGCTATGCAAAATGCATGTATCAAAAAGTTAGAAGAGAGTTCAAAGATTTCTGAAATACTGTTTCTTTTAAACTGCCTAGACCATATTCTTATTCTGGTGTGATAAATTTCTTGAATCTAGGTTTTTATTCTTACCAGAAGTGTTAACTTTGACTTGATCATTATTTTTAAGCTTAATAATCCAATCTCCTGAATTGCTTCAGCCAATTTGTTTTACATATTCCTTTCCGTCACTGTTTTAGAATTCACTTTTTCGTGTTTCCCATCACAGAATAAATTATGGTTCAAATATAGGTGTGGTCCTACTTTTCATGCATGGTAATCAGTTACCTCATTAGATAGATTTGTTTAACTTATGTATCAATATCTGTAGGTTCTATTTGAAGCACTAAAATGCAAAAAGATACTTTGTATAAATAATTGTGTACTTGCAATTTCTTTAATGCTAGATTCTTGTTTAATTTTGACAGTGAGTTTGTCCCATTTGTTATCAATAAATAAAATTTACTAAAAAATACTGGATTTCTGTGAGATAATCAACAAATTCAATCTATTATGTTACATTCTAGAATAATTTTGCAGTTTTCTTGTGATGATATACAACCAGGAAGAACAAAACCAACTGTATTAATACAATCAAACTAAAACACAACATTACTTTACTAATGTTCTTTTATTGTAATGAAAACAAAATGAAAATGCTTCTTAACAAGTATACACTAAATAAAAGATGTTACCTTTTTTCTTGATAATTAGATATAAATAACATACATTTATAAATTTATAAACACTTTAAACTATATTTAGTATAAATATCATCTAGAAAAATATCACATTAAATACTATTAGCATATCACCAAGTCCAAATTATTACAAACAACTTGAAGAGTCAGAAATCAATTTATATATTAGAGGCAAATAATATTCTGTGCATAATATATATTTGGGATGCATGTAAAAATAAAAATTTAATAATTTTATTAGTCTTCCAAAATTTCCTCTCCATTTATGTCTTGGTGAGGTTCATGAACAACTACACCATTTTGAATTTCTTCATTTAGCTTTTTAGCAAAAACTAAATCTATTTCAGATATTTGAGCAAGAAAGTTTTGTTTTTAGTCAGCAGCCCAATGTATAAACCATTCTTTGAATAATTTTATCTAAAAAATAACGATGATAAAACATTCATATTAACGACAATAAACCAATCATCCTATAAACAGTAAGATAAACAATCTAGTTATGCTATGCAATATTTGCTGAAATAAATCTGCTTGTATGTAAAGTAAAAAATATTCTTTTTTTCCTTTTCTTCCCTTTTCATTTTCTTATATCTGTTAAACCAAAATACTTGACAACATTCCAGTAGAATATATAATTAAAAACTTAAAATTTATTTTTTTTAATCACCTACATCCTTAGTATACTACTCATCATCAAACATACCAAGTATAATTTTTTTAAATGAGAACAGTGAAATGTAAGTATGTAGATGATACTTAAAATGAAAATATTTGTACACTGGTATGTTTCCAAACACATGTAACACAAAGGTTGTTGTACTTATGTCTATAAATAGAAAAAATATTTTGATCAAACAAGAAGGGTACTATTACAATCATTTCTCATGTAGTTCATCAATTTTAATTACAAAAACTATTTAGTAGTAATAATAATATACCTATTATAAAAATGAAACCTATAAAAGGTTTTAGCTAATTTTACTATATATTGTGGCTAACCCATATTTACTTACTTCAAATTAATATGATTCAAGAATTTATATAATAATGAACAACACATATTTTGGAAGATCTGAGCGGTTGTTAATTTCACATTTTTGAAAAAGGAGCTGTGTACTATCTGTTGTACATATCTAACTCTTTCATCGTATATTGCAAGAATAGAAGGTCGATCATCAATATTTTTAGGACATCATACTGTTTAAGTTTGCTTATATTCTTTAATTGTTCGGTGAAGAGTTGAATTCGCAACACCTTAAATAGGCCAGGGAAATAAGCAAAAAAAGTACCCTGTTTTTGACACTCGTCCGGCCAGGCAAACGACAGTTGTTTTGAGTAGTGTGGACCTCTGTAATAAAAACCTATATGTTTCCTGCAGTCGATTTTTTGGACTAAATTAGTTATTAACAAATTAAGTTCAAAAAACGGAAAATTTTTGCTTTTTTCGGCTATCAGCAAAAAGATAAGCAATTTAAACAAATTTTAGAAGAGAGGAAACTTATAAGTTATATAAAAACCTTCAAAATGGCGTTTTCAAAATGCTTCTATCCTTATTTGTTGCTTAGAAAGTTGCAAAAATAAGTCAAAAATTTCGGTTTTTTATAAATGTTAATAACTTTTTTGAAAAAAAAACGTATAATATTTATATTTCATGGAGTGATGTGTCTTGTAGTGCTTAAAATAGGGTTAAAAATTTTAAAGTGATCGGTCCAATAGTTTTAAAAGTTATTTTATTTGTTTATCCCAAATTAACATTTTTTGCAACAATATAAGTCAGAAATTTATACAGTTTTAGAAATTGTAAGGGTTGTTTCTGGTAGAAGAAGACTTGTTTTATTATTTACATTAAAAAAAATTAAGAAAATTAATTTTAA